ATAATAATGATAATGTAGTAAATTAAAATACTGTTTTTATTATTATTATTATTATTTATTTTCATCTCGACAATGTTTTCAGGCCGTTTAATGGTTTCAGTTCATCATTCATTTCATTTTTTTTTTTTTTTTTTTTTTTAAAATACTCTGGAAAAATTTTTGCGGTCTTTTTTTTTCTATTTGTTTGTTTGTTTGTTTGTTCGTTTGTTCGTTTGTTTGTTCGAGTTCAAATAAGGTTAAAAAAAAATAATAATAAAAAAAAAAAAAAGAGTACGAACTCGAATGAAATATAATTGTTTCCGCTTCCCGACGCTATTAATTTTTGTCAATTGCGTTACACAAAGAAAATTTTTTTTTTTTTTTTTATTGTCGAGTTATTTTTTAATTATTACTTATTATTATTAATAATAATAATAGTTCAATACTTTGAATAATCGTAGGGAAACGGTAGCAATGATTTGTGTCGATAAATAATGTTCAAATAACAAGAATGGGTAAAAAGAATCGGATGGGACGTTATTAAGGTTTGACGCGCGTGTGTGTGCGTGTGCGTGTGTGCGTGCGTGTGTGAATCGTCCATGTTGTTTATTGTTAAGGTTATAAAAACACTGTTTTTTACGTAATTATAAACCATTGTTGTCGGATGCTGGGTACTCATCCGTGTTGAGTACAAATAAGCACGCAATAATGTCGACGAATGTTTAACGTAAACGTTTTGTTAATTCGGTCCGGGGTAAAAAGCAAGGTGGGGGAGGAGGAGGGGAGTTTCCTAAAAATCGCAACAAAAAAAAAAAAAATTTTTTTTAACCTTTTACGGAAAAGGCAATGGCGTGAAAATATATATATATATATGTATATATATTTAACTCGAACACTTTTGGCAAAAGTGAATTTTGCCAAGGTAAGCAAGGCAAAATTTTAATTTCCTATTTAATGTAACAGAACAGAACCACCGAACACCTTCGGTCGCGAAGCCTTGCGGGGGGTTTTTTTTTTTTTTTTAACGTTAGCAGCTCAGCCTGTCTCTGCCGCAATAAAAATATTATTAATAATAATAATAACGAAAGGGATATTTAATTTCTTGCGACATTTTTTTTATTTTTTATTTTTTCTCTCACGAGATTTCTCCCGGAGGCTTGTGAAAAAAAAAAATGTTGTCAACCTTTCAAACACCCACGATGAGATTTTTCATTTCTTTTCTTTTCTTTTATTTATTTATTTTGACATGTCAAGTTTGAATTTGTTCGAAGTAGGTTTCAAAGGGAGTAAGGTTCGTTCGAAAAAAAAAAATGGATTTGAAATATAAATCGGTGAAAGGTTTTTAAGAAGGTATCACGCTTTAAATTCATTTTATTTTTCTAAATTACCCAAGTAATTTAATGATAATGCATGTTTTTCATTATTATTATTATTATACTATTATTATTATTATCTTATTTAACTCTTTGCATATTAACAATGAAATCGTAAAAGGCTGCTCAAGCGATTTCGTAGTAATTAGACATTAAAAGACATTAAACGAACGTTAGCGGTTTTTCTTAAAGATTTTTCAAATTAGAAAAAGAAAAAAAAAATTTTTTTTTTTTTAAAGGTTAATTTAACCGCAACCCGAGACCCCTTAAAGTCCGATTTGTTGGGGGGCGGGGAAATTTTTTTATCACTCACGTCATTGTTTTGTTGGAAAACAAAATGGAAAAAAAGGGTTTTTTTTTTTTTTGTTTGACTTTTGTTCGGGAGTTCAAATGAGAAATACATAAATGGTAACAAAAAAATAAGAAAGTAAGGGTTGTTTTTGTATGAAAAGTTCAAAGCTTTCGTTATGAATCACTTTCCAAAGCGTGGAGAGAGAGGGGGGTGTGTGGAAACAAATAATAATAGAAGGGTTCTTTCCCCTAAGTAAAGAAAAAAAGGGAAAGTTTTGCTGTCATTTTTAAGACGTCACGGTAAAAATTATTTTTTTAGATTTTTTGACAACGTAAATGCGTCTTTATCAGCATTGATTTCCGGTTGAACTTTTCTCTCTCTCTCTCTCTCTCTCTTTTTATTCTTGAAAGCTTTTTTTTTTTTTAAAAATTGTCAACTTTCATTTTTCGTAAAGATAAATTTTAATAAACTAACCAAAAATCCCTTTTTGTTCCCGAAGGAAGAAAGACTTTCGTTTTCGTTTGCATTTTTTTTTTTTCCGACGTGAAAAGTATTTAATGAAAATTGATAAGGATTATTATTATTATTATTATTATTATCATCATTTTTTTGTTTTATTATCGATCGATTTTTTCAATCACGAGTGTAATAATTTCCGCCCTCGGATTTTTGCTGGTTCGTGTAGTTTTTTTTGTGTGTGTAAAAATTTTTTCCAAATTTTCTGAGGATTTTCTTCTGTTGTTTCCCTTCGTAACTTTTATTTTTGTTTCAGACATTTTCAAAAACGCTTAAACGCTTGCGTTAGTGTGGGTGTGCGTCAAAAAAAAAGTTTTGCACTACGTTATGCCCCCCTCAATCAAAGTTTTCCTTTTTATGTATTTAAATTTGATTGTTTCCACTCATATTTGGCACTTTTATTATTGTTTTTATTATTATTATTATTTTTTCGTTTCCATATCTTTGGTTTGATTGACGAGTTTAATAATCCATAAGTTTATCATGGTAGTAACGCACAGAAATACTTTCGCTTTTAATTTTTTTTTATCTCTTTCTCTCTCTCTCTGTTTGTTGTTTTAGATGAAAATACAATTTAATGACGAAGCAACAACATTATTTGAATATCCGTCGGAATCTTCACTGTTGGATGATCAGGAAAACATCAATCCAGAAATCGAGGGAGCCATCAACACCACCACCACCACCGGTACCACGACCGGTACCACGACCGGTTTCATTACCACCGATGAAAGTTCGCCATTACGTTTACCAGTTCCTTTCGGTTTGTGTTATTTTAATACTACTATTATCATTATTTTTTTTTTTTTCTCATTTTTCGTAATTAATAATGGGTGGTGTATTGGTCGTTTTATTCGTCGACTTATTTATAATTATCATTATTATTTAACAAGTTAAGCAATCAGTTTTTTTAGCAAGGAAGGCGGGGGGAAGTTGTTTTCGATTTGGTTTTTTTTTTTTTGCGTTTGCGTCGCGTTGAAAAAATTAATTGCAACAAATATTTATTTATAATTTATTAAAACGAATCATTAAAAAAAGTTTCTACTAAAAGGTGAAAAGAAAAGAGATGATATGAGATTTAACAACAACAAAAAAAAGTGAACGACCTCGATTATTGTGATTATGTTTTTAAAAACCACACCCAGAAAAAAAAAAAAAAAAAAATCCATGCCTAACGACTAAAAGGGCTTTAAGGTGTTGTTGTTGTTGCAACATTTTTTAAAATCACCGGTCATCGAGTTACCCGTTAAGTAATCGACTTTTATTTATCGAATCCGGTTTTCTTTTTTTGCTTTTCCAACGGTGACAGTTCCACCCAGGATAAACATGGTGATCCAAGGTCGAGAATTCGATTGATTTTACATAAATTTTTTTTGTTGTTGTTTTGATCTATTAAAAATTTTAAATTTTTCTCATTCGTATATCGTCCGCATTTGTCACCGATTCGAATCAAAGTGTGGGGAGGGGGGGGGGGAGAACAACAACACCCAACAAAAGTTTTTTTTTTTTTTTTTATCGATCGATATAATTTGAAATTGTTGTAATTTTAGCGTGCGGTAATCTTGGAAATTACACTCCCAGCAAAGTTTCCCTGTCGACTGATTTCGAATTAGGAATAACGAAAACAATTCCTTCGAACAAACCCAACGTCGAACAAGATAAAGAAGACAAATCAATTGGAAAAGGTGAAAAAGAAGAAAGTTCGGGCGAAAAGGAAAGAGAAAGAGAAGAAGATGAGGATGAAGATGAAGAAGAGGAGGCTTACCTTCGACCAGCTGATGAAAACACAACCGTACTATGGAGTTCGGAAACGACAGCCGATTTGTTGTTTTAAACCCCCCACCCCTCCGTACCCCGTGAAGAAGAAGCAGAAGAAAAAGAAAAAGAAGAAGTAACCAAAAAAAAAATTGCGTACGTGTTGTTGGTAATGTTGTTTTTGTTTTGTTTTGTTTTTTTTGTTTTTAAATTTGTTGTTTTGGAATGCGGTCGACGACGCCGCCGCAATGACCGCTGGGAAGATGTGAAAATGATGGCGCGTATGGCATGGGAAATAATAATAATAATAATAATAATAGTAATAAACGAAATACTAATTTGTAATTTCCTAGGTTGATATTCACACGTGATTCATTAGTTAGCGTTTAGGTCAGAAAAGTTAATAAGAAAAGAAAAGAAACAAAAGAAAAATAAAAAAGTGATGATTGTTATAAGGGTCAAAAGAGAAAGAAAAACACTTACATTCATTGTGTCCTTTTCAAATTAGGTATCATACATACATACATACATACATAGATAGTTTTTTAACGTTCTAAACAAAAAAAAAAAAAAAATGAAATACACGCACACATTAAGTATAAATAAATGTAAAAATTCTTGTTGCGTGGATTACGACGCAGTTTTTAACAATTTACTTTATTTAGATGTTGAGAAGAAGAAAAAGAAAAAGAAAATGGAGAAGAAAAAAAAAAAAGAAAGAAAAACGTGAAACTTGATTGTTATTATTTTTTATTTTTGTAATTTTCATGAAAATTCGACAAGATTTTATATGTATTTCTTCCTCCTCCTCCTCCTCATCCTCTTCTTCTTCTTCCTCCTCCTTTTCCTTCTTTTTTCCTCCTTCTCTCCCACAGTTTAGTTGCCATAAAAGTCATCGTTTTCTTAATTATTTCATTATATCGATGTGTGTCGTATCGATATAAATAATTTGTTATGGATTTTATTATTATTATTATTATTATTATTATTATTATTATTATTATTATTATTATTATTATTATTTGTAATATGTGTTGAGAGAGTTGTGGGCTTTCACACCTTTTGTGACATTCAGTATTGTTTTTTTTTTTTTTTTTTTTTTAAGAAAAGAAAAAAAAAATTTGATTCCAAAATGGGTCCAATATATAAATATATATATAAATATCTATTTTGTAAGTTTGTTTGTTTGTTTGTTTGTTTGTTTTATTTTTATATTTTAAGAAAGAAAAAAAAATAAGGAAATATAAATATAAAACGGTCAAAAATTAATTTTTTTTTGGTAACGATTTGATTATTATTATTATTTTTTTTTTTTTTTCGTTTGTTGACAAATAAGGGGGGGTGTTTGTTGGATTTTTTTTTAAAAATGTTTGTTTGCCCTTTTTGGTTTTTTTTTTTTTTTTTTTTGTTTTTCCGTTTCTCTCCCTCGTTTTTTTTTTTTTTTTTTTTTAATCAGATCGATTACGATGAAAATTAAATTTAAAAGATTTAGCGGGGTTTCAATAATCCTTTAATTAAAAAAAAAAAAAAAAAAAAAATTTTTTTTATCATTTTCTCTATAACGCCTTAGAAAAAATAAATAAATAATTATAATGATGATGATGATGATAATAATAATAATAAAGAAGGGATTTATGGGATTTATTGAAATCGGAAAAAAAAAAATGAAAAAAAATTTTTTTTTTTTTTGAAAATTTAAATGAGAAATAATTTTTTGTTTTTTTTTTTTTTTTTAATATTTTTATTTGGTTCTTTTCCCTCTCTCTCTCTTTCTCTCTTTCTCACTTTAAATTGTTTAAAAAATTTTGTTTTTTTGATTTGTTGTTAAACAAAAATTTATTAATAAAAAAGTTTCTTTTGTAATTAATTATAATTACGTTTTTTTATAAATGAAAAAGGAAAAAAAAATTTTTTCTTTTTCTTTTTTTGTTTTCTTTTCATTTTCTTTTTGTTTTTTTTTTTTTTTTTTAATAAAAAAGAAGAAAAAGCCATTATTATTATTTATAATTATAATTTTATTATTATTATTATTATTATTAATATTAAATATAAGAGAAAGAAAAAGAAAAAAGGATGTAAATGAAAAATAATTATTATTATTATTTTTTAATTGTATGTGTGTAAAAAGGTTTGTCTTTTATTTAAAAAAAAAGCATCATTATTATTATTGTTAATTACTTGACTGTTATTGTAGTTTTAAGTTTGTCTGTATGTGCATGTGTGGGTGTGCGTGTGCGTGCGTTTAAGCACTGAATGATGCAATAAATATATAAATAAATAAATAAAATGTTGTTTGTAATTTTTGTTCGCATTAAATTTAAATATATAAAAAAAAAAAAAAAAATTGTAGTAGTTAACGAAATGTTGTTTCGCATGTTTATGTTGTATTCACGGGGTCACGTCACGTTTTAAAAACATGATAATAATAATAATTGTATATGGAAAAAAAAATTGTCCAAATTTTTTGTTGTCGTCGTCGTGTGTAAATTAATTAATTTTCCATTTTTTTCTTATTTATTATTATTATTATTATTTTTTTTTTTTTCATTTATTTGCTGGTAAAAAAAAATATAAAAGTTTCAAATAATAATACATATATATATATATATATATATATATATATATATATATATATATATACTATTTAATCCGTAATTAATAAATTTAAATAAATTAATAAATTAATAATAATAATAATAATATTTTATAAAAAAAAAAAAAAAATAGAAAAAAGAAAAATTTTTTTAATAACTTTATGATGATCTCTTTAATTTTTTTTTTTTACTATTGCATAATAAATAATGGAAAGTAATTGAAAATTTTCAAATGTTCAATATTAATATTATTATTATTATTATTTGTTTTTTTTTTTTTTTTATAAATGTTTAGATATATATATATATAAGAAGGAAAGTTAAAGTTTTTTTTTAGTACGTGTGTGCGTGTGCGTGTGTTTTATTAAATTTACAACATTTTAAAAAATGTTTTTAATGAAAAAGAAAATAGTAAATAAAATAAATAAAATATATATATATATATTAATTTACATAAAATTTTCCCATTTATTTTATTTATTTTTAAATGGAAAAAACAAGAAAGAAAATTTTTTTGATGTGATTTTTTTTTGTAATTTAAGATAATAATAATAATTTTTTTATGAGTTTTCTTCGAAAAAGGTTGTTATCAGTAAATGGTATATATTTTCCAAAAGAAAATTGTTTCTTTAAGTTTTGTTTACTAATCATGTTCAAAATTATATTGAAAAAAATTTAAATTATTCCAATTAATAATAATAAATTTTCCAAGATGGTTTTTAAGGCAATTTTAAACATTTTTTTTTTAATAGTCGATATTACAATTATCAAAAATTGGCTGCCTCAAATTTAATGATTTATTACAATGAAAAAAAAAAAAAAAACTCAAATTATTTAATTTTACTTTAATAATAATAATAATAATAAGTTTTACATTTTTCTAAAATAATATTATTTACAAATGTTTAATTTAAGGTATGTACATGGAAAATTAAATACACTGTAAGTACATTTTCAGGTTTTACACTTTTGTCGTTTCTCAAGCTTAAAATTTTTATTACTCTTTAAATGCACTATTTATATATTGATGTGTAATATTCTTCTTCTAAATCATACAAATCAGATGCCATATCATCACGAAGATTCATTAGTTTTTGATCACATTCTTCTTGCTTTTGTCTAAATATTTTAGAATTTTGACCTATGGCTTCATTGACAGAAGGGAAATCATTTAATATTAAATATTGTTTCATATCTGACACTAATTTCATGAGTGATTCTCCTGCTCTGACAATATTAGCAGCTCTTACATGCATTTCATATGTGTCTTGCTCACATTGAGTCATTCTTAAAAGCTGAGTTTCATTTTCACCTTTGGCAAGTTTTACTATTTCTAAAATAAAATGTATTTAATGTTATTAAATATAATATTAAATATAATTTTGAGGCTTTTGAAATTTTACCTTCAAAGTTTTCCAACATGCATTTCACATCATCTTTCAGCCTTGTTTGATAAGATTTTAACAAAGCTTCTTTGCTTTGTGGTAGATTTCTCGAAGTAGCCATTTTCTTTTGGTAATTCAATACTAATTTTACCGCCAAATATTGTAAAAAAATTATAGCATAGTTTATGTTGCATCTTTAACAGGTAATGCTTTCCACCATTGTTATATTAAAGTCATAGAGATAAAAACGAGCGAGAGCATAAGAAGCACTGAAGTGTCTCTCAACGTGCATATTTCATTCAAATAATTTTTTTAAACGCACATGGGGTAAATTGTATTATATTTTTAAAAAAAAACGTTTTTTTAAATACAAAATTTAGTTTATTGTAATTTCGAACTATTTTGAACGAAATAATGATATTTGAGCATTATAGTTATGCAAGGTTTTTAGTGTAAAATGTAAAGTTAGGAGGGAACCTTATAGACTGTTGAATGCTACCTAAAAATTTTTACATAATTGTGGCTTTTTTTTTTTTTTTTTAAATAATAATTATGGCTCAATCACTTTTTGTACATACTGGACCTGAACCCGTTGACACAGTGGTAAGCATTAATCCTTTTCTTAACGATGTCTTGATCTTAGATTTTTTTTTTTTTTTTGAGTTGAACATGTGCTATAACTTTTAATTAGGTAAAAAAAAAAATGTAATTATAAATATCGGTAATTGATTTTTGTATGGTTTAAATTAATCAATTTACTATATAACTCATATAATTAAGTTATACAAATTTTATTAACAAGTGAATTTGCAATATATTAGAAAAAATTAAAAAAATGCTATCTTTTCAGGATTCAAAACGTGAATGGTTTTTAGTAACCTTATGAAAATTTTTTGTTCTTTTTTTTTTTTTTTCAGGATTTGCATTTAAAATTATTTTGCAAATTAAAAATTTTTCAAACTGATACAAAATATAAAACTGGGAATTGTAATTTATTAGCTTCATCTCAACATTATGGATTAATTTTTGTTGGAAATTTAAATGGATTTACAGGTAAATTCAAATGGATTTTTGAGAAAAATTGTATCATTTACACAACTAATATTTTTTTTTTTTTTTTTTTTTAATTTCAGTTATAAAAGCCAAAAATATCAAATCGACTACAAATGTCAATAATTATCCAAGAAGAGATGTCATACTTAATAATAGGCCATGTCATCTATCTGTCGATTTTTCTCAAAAAATACTCGGAGTTGTGTGTAACACAAAACCTGGTGCTGTATTGCACTTGTACAATATATCTTCTTTGTCATCAGAAGTAAGTGATGCATACTTTACTTTTAAAAAAACTTTTGAATTTGTTTTTTTTACAAAAATCTAATAATAAAATTTTTTTTAGAATGTTACACCACTGGACACTTTATCCATAGCTAACATCACTAAAAATCCAAATGCTGAAATTTCCGACTTGATGTGGCAACCGAATAATGATGGGACAGTAATGATATGCTTAACTGACGGGTCAGTTCTTTCGATTAATCCGAAAAATAAAGAAAATTCCACATTTATTTTACCAAGCAGTACTCAGGCTAGGTAAGAAAATATATTTTATTTCAAAATTGTTTCAAAAAAATTTTTGAACTGAGTTTAAAAATGAATTCAAAAATGAATTCAAAATTATTTATTTAAATAAATTAATTTTAAAATTGGATTTTGGTTGCATAGAGTATTCAATCTTATCATTATTCGATAATAGAAATACATGTCTGTTCATTATTTTTTCTTTAAAAAATATGCATATAGATGTTGTTCATTTGTTTATTTTATTTTTACTTATGCATTGAATCTTATATACGATAATAAGTTAATATATTATATAATTATATTAATTATTATTTTCATAATTTATTTAAAATGATCAAAATGGAATAAAAATTTTTATTTTAGATGTTTTTGTTGGAGTCCAAAGGGCAAACAAATAGTTATCGGTTGCCATAATGGAACACTTTCACAATATAAGCCAGATCTAAAACTTGTAAAAACATTACCTGTTCCTCCATTTTTCAATGGATTTGCAACCATTGTAAGCGTTTTATGGATTTCTAATTACCAGTTTGCTGTTGCTTACAGTGATAAAAATAATCCTTCTTCATTTCCTATTATTACAATTGTCAATGCCACTAAAAATGAACCTATTAATATTATTAACTATGAAGATATTACATACAGCAGCACATTTTCTAGAAACCATCAATTATATTTGACTCATCACAGTGCATGGTAAGAACTCGAAGAATTTTTTTTTACTTTATTATTACTTTTATTTGTTTATGTGTTAAATTATTTTAAGGTGAATTTATTTAAATTGTTAAAAATAATGGGCATGTATTATATATAACCTTTGTAGGAATCTAATTTTTGTCAGTTCGGCTAACAGTATTGAAGTAGCAGTACTTCATTCAAAAGATAATTCATCATGGGAACAATGGCTTTTAGGAGATTCTTCACGAGCAGAACTTCCATTAAATGCTGCCAAACAAGAAACTTATCCTTTAGGATTGACTTTTGATTTTACCAGTGAAGATGCGATTCCCTGGGGAGAAAGTATTTTACCTCCAATGCCTCGTTTATTATTATTATCAGATGAAGGAATTCTTTGCATTTTTAATGTTATAAATTTAAATGCCAGCGCTCCTCAACTTTGTGGACCCGCTAAAGAGCACTTGCCGGATGCAATTTTCACATTTAACCCTGCATCAACTACAACTTTACCTGCTCCTGCACAACCAATTATGTAAGTTTTATAGGTTAAGTTTATACATACACAAATACTTTATTAATTTATATATATATACAATCAAATTTCGTGATAAATTTTAAGTATTTCTTAAGTTATTTAGTTTAAGTATATTGTTAATTTTTTTTTAGAACTGAACAACCTAAAGCACCTCAAAATACATTTTCTTTTACATCAGGAACGTCAATGGAAAATTCAAAACCAACATTTACATTTGGAAACAATACATTTTCAAGTTTTGGAGGATTTTCATCTCAGGCTCAAAATTCTAATACTGAAACCATTGTTTCCTCAGCGACAGAAAAAATTGCAGAGGGAAATAAGGTATTTTGATTGTATTTTACAACTAGTGATAAATTTTTATCATTAAAGATTATTTGAAATAATTTTTTTTGACAACAATTGTTTTATTTGTTTTTAAAATATTTATAATAATTGTTTTGCAGGCTCCACAGCAGCAAAACCAATTTCAATCATTACAACAGCAATATATGTTTCAAAATACTCAACAAAAACCTCAACCACAAATTTCTCAACAGCAGAATTTATTACAAACTTCGCAACAACAAAATATTCAAACAAGTAGTATTGTTAATCAAAAACCTCCTGCTTCTTCAGCTCCTTTGTTTGGTAATATGTCTCAACCAGGAAATGCTCCCAATCCAACTTTTTCCTTTATGACACCTCAAAATATTTTTAATTCAAAAGCTGTTGTATCTCAACCTCCCCTCGTCAGTTCAACAAATACAGCAACTGAAGCAAAGGAAGCTTCTATTAAAGAAAAACCAATAACAGAAGGGATTTTTGGTGGTAAAACTAATTTGCCTCAATCTACTCCCATCAAAGCGTCTGAAGGAGAAAATAAAGCAGCTGTTAAATCAGAAAACTTGATCGCTGAAATCGATAGCAAAGTAAAAGAAAGCTCTGGTTTACCAGAAACTCAAGTTTCTGCGGTTCCTGAACCTCCTGCTGTCGATGATAGCGTATACTGGAACGCTTTGCGAGATGAAATCGATCATTTTAATTCAGAATTGCAAACATTGTTTACCAAGGCGAAAACTCTTAACATTAAGGTTTGCATTGAAAAACTTTTTTAAAAATTTGTTTACGTATCAGGCAGTCTAATAGTTTATTTTTAACCTAACACGTTAATTATCATTGGTCGGGCTTTTGTATTTTATTTTTTTGATTTTAATAATAAAAATTATTTTTAGGTTGGCTCGACAGATGATAAAATCAACATGCAAAAAACCATAGATAATTTGAATAATTTTTTAAAAGATTTGAAAGAAACGACAATTATTCAAAGTACGGAAATTCATTCCGCCATTGCAGATCTTATGGAATCCTTTGCTTGGGTTGAAGACGCTAAATCTAGAAATGTTCAAAGGAAAAATCCAGCGTTTATAGAATTGAAAAAAGCTGAAGAATTGGATCCGATCAGTTCAAAGTACATGCACGAAATAAGATTGAATAAATATTACATTAACAATCAATTAAAGCAGTTAATTTCTTACATTGAAAAAGAATGGGTGGAACATCAAGATAGTTATAGAGCGCAAATTAAGTAAGCTTTTATTAAAAATGAACGTTTATAAAATGTGATTGCTATTTTTAAAACGCAGAAAAAAATTAAAATTAATTTTTTTTATTACACGTTAAGGAACCAAATGACCGTGCCTACACTGGAAGAAGTTTACAAAACAATGCATTTACAACTGAAAATTTTAAGCAAACAAAAATCATTGATAGAAGAAATCAAAGCCAGAGTTGCTGTGGAAAGGTGCAAGAATAAAAATGCCAAAGTTGTTTTAAACAATTCTTCTGCATCAATATTAACATCCAATAATGATAGTAAAAGGTAAAATAATGATTCTTTATTTCGTGGTATAATTTTTTTTTTTTTTTTTTTTTTTTCAAAACTTTTATTTTAAATTTCATTGTAAATTTTCTGAGCTTTTCAAACTGGCCGATAATTTACTCCAATTAAAAATTGACATGAAAGAAAATATTTCTGCAATAAATGATCTTGAAATCACAAAATCTCAATTCAAACTCATTCAAGAGAGATCAAAAAAATTAACGTCAGAAAAACAAAACGTTCTTAGAGATATTTTTAGCGAACGTGACATGGTTAAAATTAGGCCGGTAAAATCAAATTTAGAAACAAGTTCGTTTCTTCGTTCGTTAATCTTGGAAAAATCAAGTCAAAAGGCTTTAGAGGCTTCGAATAAAATAAATAAAAAAGAAAAAGCGGAGAAAGTTGAAGTTAATAAATTGGATAACGTAGAATTAACCAAGACGAAAATGGATATAATTACAAAACCAAATATTGAATCCAAAGAGAAAACGCCGGTTAAAACTTTGGAACCGACTAAAAATATGTTTATTTTCGGTGATAAAAACAAACAAACCAACGTATCAGCTGTTTCTAATTCTTCGAGTTCAAAAGAAAAGTCACCGTTAATATCGCTTAGTAACGTTGTAAAAAGCATTGATGATGCTGCTGCTGCTGCTGCTGCTGCTAAAAATAAACAAAATGTGTCTCCGATAGTTTCCAGTGCGTCGGATTTAAAGTTTACAACTAATCAAATCAAACCGACCGGAAATTTATCGAATAAAGTTGAAGAATCTAAATCAAAGCCAGTATTCACCTTTGGACTTGCAAAACCTTCAGATCAGGGATTTGGAAAACCTGCAGAAACTATTAAATTTAATGGAAAGCTTAGTTTTAACAGTTCTTCGAACACGACTGCTCCAGCTAAAACAACGGCAGCAACTGCAGAAGCAATTAAAGTTACAAATGTTTTTACATCTATGAGCAGCGGCACTTCTACACCTTTTATTTTTTCATCCACTCCTACTACTAGTACCTTATCTGCTACGTTTTCGGGCTTTCAAAAACCAATTATTTCATTTGATAGTAAGCAGTCGAGTTTTGGAAATGCAAATCCTTCTTCAATTTTTTCCGCTTCTTCCGTTCAAAGCCCCAGTTTAAATACCTCTAACATTTTCAAGCAAAATACTTCTCCGCCAGAGGTAAAATTTCAAGTAGCTGGAAAAGAACCCGCCACTGTCACGACTTCGTCTCAAAATTTACTGTCAAATTTTTCAATTCAAAAATCTTCATTCCCTTCATCTGCTCCTATTTTCGGTGTTGCCAAAACCACATCCACCGTTTCCAATGCATCTAATTCCTTCACTTCAACGCCCGCCGTAAGTAAAGGAATTCCAGTTACTGAAGTTTCAGTTATAACCAGTAAACCGGAAACAGAAACGGAAGAAGTTGATGTTGAATCTGTTGATGAGCCTAAAAATTTGGAAAAAACTTTAATTTCTAAAAATACACAAAATTCAAATATGCAAAAGGAAGCTATAAGTACTGGAGCGATTGGATTTTCGTTCAGTAAAACGCTATCAGAAGCGATTTCTACGTCTGAAGCCTCTACTCCGACTAGTTTACAAAACTTATCTACTCAAAATACTACAGCTTCTACAATTTTTGGTAAACCGTCTGCATCTAGGTTTTCAAAAACATCTCCAACTCTGCCCTCGGCAAATTTTTCTATCTCTCTAACTCCTGCAATTAATGCTCCTGCTACCGTGGTAGCAACACCTGCAAGTGTTCAGACGACTTTTTCTCAGCCGAAAACAACCACAGGAATACCAGTCAGTGCAAATGTTTTTTCTACTCCCGCTAGTACTATTCCATCATCCTCTTCCGTTACAACATCAGTCGTTGCAACCACTAGTACTGCAAATGTTTCTTCTTCCACTGGTGTTTTTACTACTAGCTCCAATAATACAAGTAACGTTTCTTCATCTGCAACAACTGTCGTTGCTTCTATTGCTGGTGTGACCTCTACAAGCACCGCTCCTCTTCCTACTACAACAAGTGTTACTTCTGTTACTGCAACCACCGTAAGCGTTGCTTCCACCGTTTCGTCTTCGGGTGGTATTTTTGAAATTTCGTCAACGGGTCCTGATGCTGCGAAAGGGTCGTCCACAGTTACAACTCCAAGTATTTTCGGAGGTGGAACAATATCTACCCCGACATCTAATATTTTTGGTGGTTCTACTAGCATTCAACCGATTCTCGGTCAAGCTGATTCTCAATTAACATCCACAACAACAACCGGTATCTTTAGTAATTCCGTTCCGAAAACAAGTTCTTTTGGGCAGCCTTCTACTCTTGCATCGGCTTCTCAAGCTTTTAGCAATTCCGTCTCTGAAACTACCGCCATTTTCGGTTTATTATCGCCTAACAGTAATAAAACGGATAATTCTTTCGTAACTTCTTCTACAACACCCACAACTTCAGCAAATATTTTTAGTACTCCCAAAAGTATTTTCGGTGATTCTAAAAGTGCGGGCAACGTTTTCGGAGATGCTAATAAGGCCTCCGTGTTTGGTGGTCAAAGTGGTTCTATATTTGGAACAACATCATCAAATGTATTCGGACAAACATCAAATTCGAATTCAAATTCAGTTTTCGGACAAACCATTTGTTCACCTTTCGGAGGAAATGCATCAGGAGAAGGTGGAGGATTTGGAAGTAAACCAATTTTCGGTCAGAGTTTATTTGGACAAACTACTAATAATAACGCTTCGGTTTTTGGTGGATCACCTAATTCATCAATATTTGGAGGATCTTCAACTTCGCAGACTTCGCCGGGAAACGCTTTTCAGTCGGGAACCACAGGCACGTTTGGGGCAACTTCATCTGGCCCGTTTAGCAGCGTGCAAGACAGTGTTGCCAAAACCGGATTCAGCGCTGGGAACACGTTTCAAAAACCAATGGGTACATATATATATATATATATATTTATATAACTGATTTGAAATCGTAAATTTTTTTAAAATTTCTAATTTTAATTAAAATGGTAATAAATTTAAATGTGATTTCTACTTCAGGTGGTTTCGGGAGTCCGCCAGTATTTGGAGGTGGTCCTTCCATTGCTCCAGCATTTGGAGCCGCTCCGACTTTTAGCGGATCTGCCACATTCGGCTCGCAGCCCACTTTCGGTAATGGCTCGCTATCATTTTTCTTTTTAAAATACATTCTTTTTCGAGTGAAAAATAAAAGAAAATTACAAACCTGTAATTTTTTTGTTTTTTTTTTTTTTCTCCCAACAGGAAGTTTTCCACAAGGTCAACAATGTTCGACTACATTTGAAACTTTTGCAAATCAAAACACGATGGGATTTGGTAATTTGGCTCAACAATCTCAAAATCAAGGTTTCGGTGGTTTTGGCTCTTCTCCAGGTTTCGAAAATAAAAATCCTGCAGGGTGAGTAAACGTGATATTGTTTTTATTTTAAAAACCGGAAATACAATTTTTTCGTTTTTTCGAATTCGCCAGATTTTATTTATAATCGTTTTCAATGCTTTTAATCGTTTTCCTTATGCTTTTCAGTTTCAGAGGAAGTTCTTTTTCGAGCTGGAGATCCAAGTGAATGAAAGTTTTATCCAGTTTTCGAAAATCAACTGTCAATCAATCACCTTGGGATTTTAGTTTTATTTATTTTATTCATGTACATTTTTTCGTATGAAATTACCTTGCGATAAAAGGTTCGGGAATCAAAACAATAAGAAGAATGGACGATTGGTATAATGAATGAATGATGAGAGAAAATTTTTCGACGTGCTACGTTTTTCCGGAGGATAATTTATAGTTATTGCCGTCAAAGGGTGAGTGAAAAATATAATTATTGAAATTGAGGGAAAGGTGTCGGGAAAAACAGAAAAGAAAAAATGTCAAGTTTTATTTTAATTTTTTTTTATTTTACGTATTTACAAACGAAAAGTTTTACGTCGCATAATTACATTTAGTATATTTAAAAAAAAAAAAAAAAACATTATTATATCATCATTATAATCTTATATGACAAACGTTGACGAAAAACTTGAAAAGTTTAAAAAATTTTCTGCTGCTTTTTTTTTTTTTTTATTTTATTATTATTATCATTATGACTACAATATACAAAAAAAAAAAAAGTATTCAATGAAAGTTTTTTTTTTTTTTTTTTTTTTTTAAAAAAGGAAAAGCAGGGCACCCATTTGGTTTTTTTTTTTTTTTTTTTTTTTTTTTTTTATTATTTAATTTCTTTTAAAAAAAGGTAAAAAAAAAAAAAATTTATTTTAGGGGATTGGGGAAACCCTTTAAACCCTTTTTTTTTTTTTTTTTTTTTTTTTTTTTTTTTTCTATTATATTCACATCTAAATTTTTTTTTTTAAGCAAAGCGAAAAATAATAAAAAAAAATAACAAGCTATTATTATGACGTAGAAAGAAAATTTTTTAAACTAAACAATTTTAAAAAAAATATTTTTTTTTTTGTCATATTTACAAATTTTCGGCGCGAAATTTTTTTTTAAAAAAAGATGACGTCACCGCCGATTTTTTTCTTTTTTCTAGTAAAAACATAAAGAAGAATTACATTGATTTAATTAAAGGGTAGGGACAATGAAAAATAAAAACTTTATTCTTTTTCATTTGGCATCTTGACATTTTTTTTTTTTGTATATTTTTTTTTCGTGTATATATATATATATATATATATATATATATATATATATATATATATATATATATATATATATAGAGAGAGAGAGAGAGAGAGAGAGAGAGAGAGAGAGAGAGAGAGAGAGAGGCACGTAAAATAAGTATTTATAAAAAGCGAATCGGAAAATTTTAACGAATTTTTTTTTTTTTGACATACGACAGCGTTCGAAACGTAAAAAAATTTAAAACGCGAAATTTAACCTAATATTGTTTTCTTAGAGGACGCGAAGTTAATTAGAAAAAATGTCGTCGGAAAATTTTTTTTTTTACGCTTATTCATTTTTAAAAAATAGCGAAATAGGTTTTTTTTTTCTTTTACGTTAAATTCTACCAAGTTTATTATTACTATTATTATTATTATTATTATTATTATTATTATTATTATTATTATTTATAACAAATATTTATAAAAAAAGAGGTACATAATTATTGTTATTGCACCGATAAAAAGGTTTACTTATATATATATATATATATATATAAAAAAGCCGTCTAAAATATACAAACTAAATTATTATTTAAGCCTCATATATGTATTGTCAACGAGTTTAAATGTAAAAAACGCGAAATTTAAATTCCGGCATTGCATTGAATTGCAATTAAAAACAGGATTCCGACGTTTTCGAATTTTCCATAATTTCCGGAATGGATTCGGGTTTTCCTTGTCTGTTTTCGATTTTTTCATTGCCGTTTATTTGTCCTCTCGTGTAATTAGCCGCTTCTTGGAGTCTCATGAGCATGTTCAACTGAAGAAAATAATTATTATTAATATTATTATTAATATTATTATTAATACGATTTAGCTTAATGGGACGAATAGCAAGAATTAATTATATAGTAAAGATATTTGAATTTGTAACGGATAATACTAACCAAAGGATCTCCATCGGAGTCAGATTGGTTCGATGTAGTTTTTGAAGCCGTTCGGTTGGAATCCGAACTTCCGTTCATATCGAATCCAACGTCTTCTGGTCTTATTCTAAAAAAAGAAAAGGAAAAAATGAGTTTGAATGGTTGTATTTATTTAAATTGCAGGCGCTTATCTCTTGGCCGTTTATGACATGGGTTTCAATCGTCTCGGAGCTTCTTCAAAATAAGTTTGGTTGGTGAAAAAGACTTTTAAATTTGTTTCTACCCCGTTGGAATAAGAAGAGCCAAAAGAAGAATTTGCAACATGTTATACATCACGGATTTAAAAAAGGCAATAGTGAAAAGGACACTGCAGACGAGATTCGCACCGTTTACGGGAGTGTTACTACGACCATTAGGAGGACCGTTCGTAATTTGTTAAAGAAGTTTAGAGCCGGGGATTTTGATTTGCAAGATGAAGATCGCAGAGGGAGCCCAGTAACGACGGATGTGGACCTTATCAAGACTGCACTCTCTGAAAATCCGCAATATAGTGTACGTGGGACAGACGAAAATTGGATTTTGCATCAAAACGTGTCAGGAAAACGCACTTGATCCAAGGAGAATAGATCTTCAACTGTTGCGAAGTCTGGATTCATCTGAAGAGAGTTCTTTTATCCATTTGGTCGGACTGGAGAGATGTAGTGCACTACGAGCTCCTTCTTCGAGGTGAACCGATGAATGCTGAGAAATATTGTAATCAACTCGATCAACTACGAAAGAGGGAAACGGTCAGAACTGGAGAACCGACGAGGAGTCGTTTAGAATTAGAGAATTTTGATTTGCAAGATGAAGATCGCAGAGGGCGCCCAGTAACGACGGATGTGGACCTTATCAAGACTGCACTCTCTGAAAATCCGCAATATAGGGTACGTGGGACAGACGAAAATTGGATTTTGCATCAAAACGTATCTGGAAAACACACTTGGTCCAAGGAGAATAGATCTTCAACTGTTGCGAAACCTTGATTCATCTGAAGAGAGTTCTTTTATCCATTTGGTTGGACTGAAGAGATGTAGTGCACTACGAGCTCCTTCTTCGAGGTGAACCGATGAATGCTGAGAAATATTGTAATCAACTCGATCAACTACGAAAGAGAGAAACGGTCAGAAGAGGCGAACCGACGAGGAGTCGTTTTCCATCTCGACATCGCAAGAAGACGTGTTTTATGGATCGTGAGACTAAATTATTACAGACTGCAGTTTGGGACGCTCCACCTCATCCTCCGTACTTGCGTTTCGTCGAAGTGCGTTTTTACGCACTTGGTCCAAGGAAAATAGATCTTCAGCTGTTGCGAAGCCTGGATTCATCTGAAGAGAGTTCTTTTATCCATTTGGTTGGACTGAAGAGATGTAGTGCACTACGAGCTCCTTCTTCGAGGTGAACCGATGAATGCTGAGAAATATTGTAATCAACTCGATCAACTACGAAGAGAGAAACGTTCAGAACCGGCGATCCGACGAGGAGTCGTTTTCCATCTCGACATCGCAAGAAGACGTGTTTCAAGGATCGTGAGACTAAAATTATTACAGTTCGCAGTTTGGGACGCTCTACCTCAACCTCCCTACTTACGTGAAACGCATTTGGAAAATAGGGCATAATGAAGCTTACTGGAAGATGAAAGAAGGAACGGAATGGAAGGGAACGGTTCACATACAATCTACTAAATCGACCTCAAACAACAAGTATTGTGAATTCACTTCACAACAAGGGAAAAGGGAAGAAACTTATGGGACATCCGGGTAATAACTAGAAGAAAATGTAGAAAAATTTATTAGAAAAGTTACATACCTCAACAGAGCCTCCGGTCCTCCGTTCGAAGAGTCTTCGACCCAAGGATAGGTGTCGATTACGAATTGTGTTGGATCTTCCCAAGCTGCACGTTTACCATACAATTGAAGGCCTTCCCTGACGGCATCCATCAAGTAAGGTACGACGGCGTAGTTCCATAAATCCGTAAACCAAACCTGACTGTTTTCCGCATTGTTGGGACATAGAAGAAACAATCTCGGTCCTATTGTCATGTCGGAGGAATTGTGCATTTCAATGAATTTGTTTATGTGATGCCACACCTGAAAGAAGAAAATTTTTCAAAGAGTCAAAAAGTTCAATAATTAAGTTTTGTCATTTTGTATAGAAGTGTTAAATGAAACGTACTTTTGGTATCCATTCTATAACTCTGGCTAAATCATTGTTATGTGCATTATCACGCAACTCGCTGTCGACGGTTCGTCGCCTAAGATACCGCGAAAGAAAACCTTTTACTGGTTCCATGTGATTGGCACATAGTATCCACCTGAAAAAGTGAATGTTTACAAGAATGAAAACGTGAATGAGATTTTTTAACATTGAAATAACATGGAAAACAATTGGAATTACAATCAATCACCTGAAATTATGATGCAATTGTAAATTTGTAGTGGAGCAAGTCGCTTGATTCATCGTACCAATTATAAAAGGACACTTTGAGTATTTCGAACTAAGGAAACCATTGAAAACTTCACCCAGCGACGAAGCCTGATGAAGATTATCCAAAATAATAACGGATGGTAAATCACCGGCGTTGTTCTCGCATTGCTCCGCTACATTTGTCAAATATTGTCTTAATTCTTTACTGTTTTTGTGATCCACGCTGGAACGAGAGGAAAATTTTATTGGTAATCATTCTCATATGGAAGAAGACAAAACGAATAAAGAGATTTTACGTACTTAAATGTGGCGATGGATTCCGCCATTGATTCTTTTCCAATTCTCGATACCAAAAATTCCGATAATTTATTAGCCAAATACGATTTTCCAGTGCCTGATGGTCCGCATAGAATTATTCTTCTGTGTTCGCTAAGAAGTGAAACATACCTGAAGAGAAAAAAAAAAAATAGAAAGTTAGTTATATCATTTGAAATGTATTTTTGCGATACTTAATTACTAGGATATTAATTTGATTTTATCGTCACCTTTGAATTATGGATTTTGGAATAAGAGTTTCAAAAGCTAAAGCGTCTAAACTTCCATTGTTGATAGCTCCCTTTAAACATATTTTAAGTGTGTCTTCTTCTTCGATTAAATAAGCATACGGAAGGAGATCCGGAAGAACGGAATCTTTGTAACGAACTATTTCTCCTATGTGATAACTCCATATTGATTCTCCGCTTAATCCGAGACCCGAAGACGGATCCAATCTTTGAACGTATTCTTTGAACATTTTTCTAACCATGCTGTCCAACATTTCCCATTGAGTTTTTGGATTTACGTAAATTGCGGCTATCACAGTTTCAGATTTGCAATTGTCTTCCATGTATTTGTGAAAAACTCCGTGTGAACCGAGTAGTACCGATACGAGGATGCGTTTACCGCCTTCGGTTTCTTCGAAAAAAGAAAGTAAAATAAGAAAATAAACATTTTTTTAAATGAAAATTATTAAGATTATTATTAGCGCCGCTTACCTTGAGCAAAAGTATTCGAAAGCGCCGCCAAAGAATTTTCATGCAGGCTAAATCTTCTGTCTAAACTTCCTAAATGGTTAACAGAACTTTGAGATGACGTGAGTGACTTACTCGTAACTATTCTTTGTAATCTTTCATTGTCTTGTTTCAAATTCAACAATTCGTTCTGGAAAAAAAAGATAAGAGAAAACAACAGTAAGACTTTTACGAGTAAAATGAAATTAAACTTTTAATTAGGAAAAAGGGATTTGTTTACGCACCCTCATCTTAATCACCGTGTCTTTCAATGATTCCAATTGATGTGCCGAACTTAGCGCTTCCAACCGGATATCCGTCAAAACGAGATCTTTTTCCCGGAGTTGTTTTTTAAGATCTTCGACCAATTCGCATTCGGACATTTCTTCTTCTTCTTTAGATTTGTAAATTCTAAAATAAAAATTGACGTCATACTCCGATCGATGGAGAGAGAAAAAAAGAGAAAAATCTAGATTTTTTTTATATTAAACTTACGCAGATGAAGACTGGCTGACTTTTAAATTTTGAGAGCTCGTGTTGAGAACGTGATTGTTGAGGAGCGGAGATGACGGAGCCGAAATATCTGTGTTGTTAATTATATCTCCGTTTGTTTGGAGTCTCCTGAAATCCTCAACGTCGGATACGGATCCATTTTTGTTTTTACGCGAACGAGAAAAAGCTTTGCTAAAAGAACTTCTCAACCATCCTTTCTTTTTCTTTTTCGATTTCCCTGATGAACAATTGGCCGAACTCGAAATGCTACAAGCAGACGACAGAGAATTCAAACTTGAAACGGAATCCGTGGACAATTGACGAGTCATTGGAGAAGCACCTAAAAGGAAATTTTGTTTTTTTATTTTAAAAAAAACTCAATCGTGAACTTTCATCAAAATAAATATAAAAGGAAAAAAAAATTTTTTGAATTTGTGTTGTTTTGTCGTGCTGCTTTACCGTTTACAATCAAATCATCAGAATTGGGCATGTTCTTTTTGGATAGACAAGGAGTTCCTGGTGGTAAATTTGATGAAGAAGAGTTTTGTAATTCTTTGCTTTGCTTTCTTAAAAGTTCGATATTTTTTCTCAATTCCAATAGTTCTTGATCTTTTTTTTCCGTGGTAGCAGTCAAATGTTGAAGTCTTTGCGTCATACTCGACAAGGATTGTTCAAATGCCGAAACCACGTGAGCCTGTAAAAAAAAAAATTAAAAAATTGTAAAAAATTTATTTTCTTCTAAATAGATCGAAGTCATATCCTTTAACGACGAGCTTAGCTTACGTTGGTCGACAGTTGACTTGTGAGTGTATAAACTTTTTCCTGAGAATCGAGCAGCTCTTTTCGTAATTTTCTTATTTCGTGTGCTTGTTTTTCTTCTGCCGTACTGTAAAGTGACGAAGCAGTAGAAACCAAACTTATGGAAGAACCATGAACTGAAACACGATCAATTATTATTATTATTTTTTTAAAAAGAAAAACAAAAATTCGAAACTTTATTTAAAAAAAAAAAAAAAAAAAACATTCATGAAAAACTTACTGTCATCGTCATTTCCGGGTATTTTAGACATATTTCCATGATTGTAAATGGTCATGTTTCCGCGATTTAAACCGTGACTAGAAGACGATGAACTGATGGGCGAAAGAGAATAATTAAAACGACCTTGAACTCCTTGCGACAGTTGGCTGGGTGTAGGACTCGTGGGTTGCGATGCATGATTATGTTTGGATGGCATACTGTTAATAGGTATGCCGTAGTAAGGATCAGCATCATCGGATCTTTGCAACATCGAAGGATATAATTTTTCAGATTTTGTTGATCTAATACTGTTACTTCTATTTAACCTGTGACTAGGTGACGCGCTTCCCTCTCGCTGGTTTAATAAAAGTCTCGTGTGTGTTAAACTAGCTCTGTGTTGAAGTTGAGCCGGAAGAGAGCTAAGAGATTCTAGACTTTCTGTATCGATCAATCCTAAAACAGATAATTTTTGTAAACCACGTTCTTAAGTGGAAGAGGGAATAATATTAATGATTTAAAAATATATTTACCCGTGCTAGTTCTCGATGGTAAAGAAGCTGTGTAGGTAGAGCTGTTTCTGAGCCAAGAACTGTAAGGACTGTTATTCGAATAATAATCGTGAATCTCCGAATAGTTGGAGTAAGTAGTGTCGGAGAGCGAACCATCAGTCGGTTTATGTTGTCTTTGCTGATGTTGTTGTTGTTGTCTGTGCTGTTGAAATAATGCAGCATATTCGCTGGAACCTGATAATTTACGATATTTTAATAACGCTAATAAAAAAAAAAAAAAAAAAAAAAATTTAAATGCACGTGCAAAAAGAAAATAAAATTCCAAACCTGGCTTTGGTAAACTTTGAGACCCCAAAAGCCGTTCACGAACACATTGAGACAATTGATTGGCGGATGCTCCAGTGAGTGAATAAGATTTAAAATGAGCTAAATCGCTCGTTGTTTGAGTTCCTCCAGAAACTTTTACTTTCGTCCTCGGCACAGCTGACACTTGAGCCGTTTTCGTTTCCGATTTTCCAGCGGGTGTCGTTCCACCATTAGTAGTGCTACGTTTCACGTAACCAAAACTCAAAGGAACTCCTTTGACTTTTCCCTTTGGATCACTTCCATTTTGCTTACATCCGGAATCATCTTTCACTCCCATAACTTTACCCGGTTTACTTTTTTTGCTTACCCCATTCGGTACGGGACTTTTCCGCTCTCTCGTTCTTATAATGTGATCATCCGTTTTGTTTTGTTCGTCGTTCTGATATTTTTTCCATTGATTATTTTGAATGGGTCGAAAGGCACTAGCATCCGTTTGCTGACCTGAATCGGATTTTCTATTCGATGATCGACTGATTCCCGGCCTGTAATTTATCGGGGATTGACGAAAGTCTCCTTGGGACGTCCATTGATTCGAATTTGAACCAACCGACCCCTAAAAAAAAATAATCAGTTAAATGAATTAAATTAATCTCCGGATAACTTTTTATTTTTTTTTTTTAATTTTAAACAAATAATACTAAATCACTCTCATACCTTGGCGTCTCTAAAATATTCCTGATCGGACGACAGTTCGCCGGTGCCGGTTGTACTTTTACCCTCAATTATATTATTTTCCTGCGTTGGAATTCCAAATGAATTTTCCCCCGTGCAACCGTTTAATTTTTGTTCGGAAAAACCGTTAACATCATTTTTACTAAAAAAAAAAAAGAAAAACAGAAAAAAAAACCTTAAAGAAATTTTAAATTAATGAAATTTACCATTACATTATAATCTTTTTACAATTTTTAAATAAAACAAAGGAAAAATTATGTATGTTGAATTGGAAAAAATTAATTTTAGGCATGTAGGTTAACGAAAAATTTTTTTAAAAAAGCACGTCTTTTAACAATAAATTTTTTTTAAAAATGTATGTATATGTGACTAAGCTAAACTTATTAGCTTAAAAGAAAAAAAAAGGGGGGGGGGGCTTCGAAACATTTTTTTTTGAAAAGAAGCCCCAAATATTGATGAAAATTTAAAAGAAAAATTTTCATCAAAAAAAAAAAAAATTTTTTTTATACACGGGAGAAATTGTTTTTTTGTTTGAATGATTCATTTTTTCTTTTGTCTATCCCTTAAAAATAATAATAATAATAATAATAATAATAATAATAAATTTGCATCCGTGTACTAACTACGTGACTCACCAAATTCGAAAAACGAGTTTTTTTTTTTTTTTTATATAGTAAATAAGCATTTTCGTACTTTTTATTTTCCCTATAAAAATTCATAGAAAAATAATAATAATAATAATAATAATAATAATAATAATAATAATAGTGTACAACTTACGCTTTGTTTAATAAATACGTTTTATATTCGGTCGGATTAATCCCCGGTAAAAGACAACAACAACAACAACGAAAAAAAAAGTTATTAAATAATAATTTTAAAAAAAATACACATTATTAAATAAAAAAAAAAAACTGCTTCAACTACGACATATAACAAAAGAAAATGTCGGAAAATTAAAAAACATGGAGGCGAAAAAAAAAATAAGAAAAAAAATACTATGCGATTTTAAGAGCGAACAAAAAACATTTGACACAGATAAAGTGATCGTAGAACGGCTCCGACTCCCGTTCCCCCTCTCCTCCCTCTTTTCCACTTCCCCTCTTTCCATCCTCCCTCTTCTTCCTCTTTTCCACTTCCCCTCTTTCCATCCCCCCTCTCCCTAACTACTCCCAAAAAAAAAAAAAAAAAAAAAACTTGAAGGAAATCAATGCCGAGGTAACCATAGGTTACGGGGAGGGTGGCTCTAACAACAGCTGAGTAAATGCGCATCAGAACCATCTGGTGAATAAAATTCTAACTAATAAATTTCACCCTAATAAATATATACGGCCAAACCTTTTTTCCCTCCCTCCCCTCCTCCCTCTCTCTCCCCCCTGTCTTTCTTTCCTTCTTAACCGCAGCAAAATATTATTAAAATAATAATAATTTTTTATTATTGTTATTATTATTATTATTAATGCTTTTCTTATGATTATTATTATTATTATTATTATTATTATTATTATTATTGAAATGTCGGTTTTTCATTAGGCGCAAAATTCGAATAAATTTTATTATTATTATTATTACTTTTTCTCCATCGCTTTAAATTTTCTATTCGAAATGGAAAATGGTGGCACTTTTACCACAACCGTTATTTTCTTGCCACCTTTTTCTCCTCCCCTCTCCTTCTCCCTCTCGAAAATTTTCTTTTTTCTCTTTATACGCCCTTTTTATTCAAATAAAAAAATTTTCCTTTTCCCGTTTGTTTTCGCAATTCAACGTTTCCACGAAAAATTTTACTCGGATTTAATTTAAAATTTTTCCGCATTTTCTCTCCCTCCCCTCATTCGTCGTCTGCTTTCCTTTTTTTTTTCTCTTTTGTCTTCTGCTTGCGCATTTTCTTTTTCACTCAAAAAAAAAAATATATGTAGCGTTAAATTGCTTATGTGACGACGACACCTCTCTCTCTCTCTCTCTCTCTCTCTCAGAATATATTTCCCGTGCGAAAAAATTTCATAATTTCGACAAAGAAAATTTTCACTTTTTTTTTTTTTTTTATAAAAAAATTACGCAACGACGGAAACGGGTAATGGGTAACGTCATCATTTTATATTCCGTGCAAAGAAAAAAAAAACAAATTAGCGGTACGTTCGTGCTATTTTTTTTTTTTTTTTTTTTTGGCTACCGTTTACGTCGCCATTACACAATTTTTTTTTTTTTTATTTGAGTGCATTAACTTTCATAACGTAAAATAATATTAATGATATTAATAATAATAATAATAATAATAATAATTTTTCTTTTGCGTTTTAACGTTTGTGTCGCGATTCATTCATCTCTCTCACTCTCTCTCTCTCTCTCGGTTTGTTAAATTTAAAGATATTTTACGTTGTTGTTTGGGGTGTTAAAAGTTGGGCGAAAAGTTTTTGTTATGAAAATTAAACAAACGTGAGTTTAAATCACGAACAACCGACGACAAATTTTCAAAAGTTTCAAACCATTTTCCACTATCAAAAAAATTTATGACTAAACAACACTAATCGATAAATAAAGGAAAAATTTCCTTTGTTGGTTTTCTTTTTCCTTATTAGAAAAATTTCGTTCAAAATTTTGTTCAGAAAATCAAATTTACGCGTGTGCGTATGCATACATAACACGTGGATTAATAAAAAAAAAAAAAAACTTACTTTTGTTGTTGTTGTTGTTGTTTCCTTTTCGAATATCCCGTGTCGGAAACATAACCGGAATTTGAATCTTGTATAAGATTTGCTTTGTTCATTGTTTTTAACATGTCCATGCCGCCATCTTAACAAAAAAAAAAAAAAGAAATTGAAAAATGAATTAATTTAATTAAAAATAAGAAAAAGTGATATATATATATAATTGGATGATGATGGTCTTACTCATGGCCAAGTCTATGCTCTCTAAATTGACAATGTTTGGATTTGTTGACATTTGTGAATAGTAAATGTTTTTTGATGATTGAACGTTGTTCAGGCATCCGGGATGTGTGAAATGAAGGGTCGCGTGATTACCCAAACGGTATCCACCGTTCATGAGAGGTGACATGGGTTTAACGTTCATAACTTCTTCTTCTTCGACATCTTTTAATTTTTTATCCGATTCGACGACGATGATCCTTTTCTCATCGTCGTTTTCTTTATCCTCATCGTTGACGGTCGAGGTTCTCATGGGTGACACCATCGCAACGCAAACATCGTCTCTTTTTTGTTTTTCGCTTTCCCCACCCGGCGGAATCCTTGCAACGGACGATGATTTTCCCTTTAACGTATTCATTTCCGTTGGATTCGTCATAGTTTTGGTCGTGCCTTTGACGGCTGCCATGGGTTTTGGAATTCCCGTAGAATTTGACGTTTTTATCGGATTGTCTTGATACCCTTCCATTTTGTTGTAAGAATTTTGTTTTGGTTTTTGTTCTTTTTCCGATTCCATTATGTTTAATTTTGTTTGTTGTTGTTGTTGCGACGAAGTTTCGTCGATGCAATTCACAATTTTCCTTTCTCCGTCTGCTATACCGCGAACCTTATCGTTTTTCGTCATTTGTTTGGGATTTTTCACTTCCGCTTCTATCATTCTTTTCAACTTCGGCGAATTTTGTTTTTTGTCACAATTTGTTTTGGCTATTTTAGTACGAGTAGTACCTTTGTATTTGACTATATTCGATTGATCTACGTGAGGGATTTGATGATTTAATTGAACGATATCAGTTTTTTCGTTAATTAAACTACAAAAAAAAAAAAAAAAAACAAAATATAAAAATAAATTTAGTTTTTATCATTTATCAATTTGTATAAAAAAAAAAAAAATGGCGTCAATTAACTAACTAACTACTCACCCTATTTGTTTGGCATCGCTACAGAGACTCGTAGACGAATCCGAATGTTCAGATTTAGCCGAACTGAATCCGCTTGAACTAGAAGTTCTTTTAGAATTTCCCGTACCTATTTTAGATTCTTTATCTTTGGCATTGAACAATTTAAATTTTTCCAACATTGAATTTTTCAAACCGGGATTTTGGGATTGACCGTAAGGACTGACGGCAGGAACGCGAAGAGAAGTTCGACTTCCGCTCAGCGACGGTTGTTTTAATCTAAAACAAACAAACAAACAAACAAACCGTTATTATATTTAAAAACCGTAAAGTTTTAACGTACAAAAATAATAGAAATAATGATGATGTTGATGACGTAAACGATAACGGAAAGGGATTTTCAAAAGTGATTTAAAACCATAGAATAATTATTTTTGGCGGTTTTGTTTTGTTTAAAAAACCACAAAAGTTTTCCAAACCTTTAACAAACCTATCGAAACTAAAACATGTTTTATTTCTTTATTTTAAGGGGGAAAAAAAAAATTAAAAATAGTTTTTTTATTGTGTTATTTTTGCGAATGATTTGAGTTATGATTATTCAATAGAAAAATATTCCATTTGTTTCTACAGTAAAGAGAAATTTATAGAGTGATTAGTGACACGAATATTTTCGTGTGACACGACGTGTGTAAGAAAGGAAAATTTTTTAAAAAATGTTTTTAATTCTTTTAAAGCGGATTTTCTTTCTTATTTCTTCGTCAAAAACATTTTTAAATGTCGGTGGGGAAAAAAAAAAAAAAAAAACAAATAATTAATTTTTAACGTAATATTTTTAAAATAACGCGTGCGCGAATGTTTCGGGGGGAGGGAAGGGGGAGAAAAAAAATCCACAATGTCCCCCATTTCAGCCAAAAATTTACAAAAGTCTCTATCTCAATAGACGAACCAACGAACGAACGAACGAATGTTTAAAATAACATTAATAATAATAATAATTTTGTTAACTAATTTATAACTAACTAACTAACAGTACCTTATAAACTTTTTTAATCATTAAAATTTTACGGTTGAGCTCCTAAATTTTTTTTTTTTTTTTTTTTCATAAACTTTAAAAAAAATATGTATTCTAAGTAAAAAAGGCAAAAAAAAAAAGTTTCGTTATTAACAACATTAAATTTTATGTGGAATTAACAACGACGACAACGACAACAACAACAACAACAACCACAACAACAAACGATATTTAAAATCATATTTCATATATCATACGCATACGCATATATATATTTTATTTTTCCCAATTTACAAAACTGGTTTTCGCGTTTAATTTAAACATGACATTCATAACTTTAATAATAATTTTAATAATAATAATAATAATGATGATGATGTTGATGATGATAAAATAAAGTTAAAGAGTTTTAAATTCGTGGGGTTTGGAAAATGTGAGTGTGTGTGTGTGTGCGTGTGTACATGCGTGGTGTTTGATTAGTCAATACAAGACTCGTAAAAATCTTTTTAAATTACCAAAAAAAAAAAAAAGTTTTTTATTACGAACAAACAAAGGAAGAGAACAAGATGAGGGAGGAGGGAAAGAGTGAGGAGGAGAGACAGAGACAGAGAGAGAGAGAGAGAGAGAGAGAGAGAAAAGATTTTAAAACAAATTAAATGGAAAAATTATTCTCGAATTACATGATGAAAATTAAATAATGGCGATTAGACGACGACTGTCTGTAGAAAATTATTATAATTAATGTGAAAATGACACTCTTTAAAATTTGAAAGAAAGAGAGAGAGAGAGAGAGAGGGAGGGGATAGAGAGAAACAGGGACGGATTAAGGAAAAATAAACAACAACAACAAAAAAAAAAAGAAATTTTTTTTTTTTTACTCACCCATTAGATTCTATTTGTTTTTCCGTTAATGAATTCCTTGTCGTTGTCGGACGAGGTATGGAAATGAATTGCCCCCCACCATTTGAGGGACTTGCTGATCTCGAACTGCTTGCCGATGTGCATTTATTATATGCTGTGAAATGCATAAATTATAAATTGATTAATTAATTAAACGGTCGACAAAGGTATGATAATTAATTTTTTTGAACTTGAATTTATCATAAACGCGAACGACGTGTGAAGCACACCTCGTCGTGTATTGCACATCGTCGAACGTTTTTTTTTTTTTTTTTTAATTATGAGAATATCAAAAAAAAAAGCAGACAACGAACTCGCGTGTGTAAGTGCGTGCATGCGTGCGTGTGCGTGTTTATTGAGAAAATTACTTAACATAAAAATAATACGTCTTGAATAAAAAATAATTAAATTTTTCTTTGTTTATTCAACAGACATTTAAATTTTTTTTTTTTTTTAAATATAATCCGACTCGAGAACTTGTCTTGCATTAAAGTAAAAATAATAATAATAATAATAATAATCGACAAGGTATTGAAAATTTTAAACAAAAAAAACATCTTTTTTCTCACTCTCTCTCTCTCTCTCTTTGTCTCTTTTGTTTTGTAAAAAGAAAAACATTGACGAGTTGATTTGAAATTGTATACTTATTGAAATTGTTCTTTTCCCTTTTTCGTCGCTTTAAAAAATTTACCGCTAATCCAAACCTGATTTGTCGATGATAATAATAATAATAATAATAATAATAATAATAAAGGTGAAAATATATCGATACGTTTTACGAAAACCTAAAAAAAAATTTTTTTATTTATGAGAGAGAGAGAGAAAAGAGCAGGATTCAGTTCACCCGTAACGTATATATAAATTCATTAAAAGTAATTTAATTATCCCGAAAAGGAAAAAAAGAAAAAAAAAGAAAAGTAAAAGAATTTACTGTTGTTGTTGTTCCTGTTGCTGTTGTTAAAATAACGGGAAATTCTTTCGGACGAATGAGAAAAAAAAAAAAAAAAAAAAAAGAAAAACTTAAATTGAATTAAATTGAGCAAATCAAAAAGCGGTTTTCGATAATTTCAAAAAAAAAAAAAATTCTGGAACAAATACAATCCTTTTCCAAAACAAAAAAAAGGTTTCAATAATAATAATGATAATAAAAACGTGTCATTTCACTTTTCGTCTGTTGTTGTTAACCTGCGTTTGATTGCAAAAAAACAAAATAATAATAATAATAATGTCATTTATGAATTTTTTTTACTCTTTTTACTTTAACAAACTCGACAAATATAAATAAATTATTTATTTTTAATTATTATTATTATTATTATTATTATTATTATTATTATTATTATTATTATTATTCCATAAAATAAATAAATTAATTAATTGAATTGAATTTTCCCCGGTTAATGTCGATAAGGGTTCGTTGAACCCTTGCTCATTACACTGATTATAAAATATTATTAATAATTAATGAAAAAAATAATTTTTTTATCGACTACAAAAAGTAATTAACGATAATAAATAAAAATAAATTTATTATTATTTTTGTTTATTATTGTCACTATTATTATTATTATCATCATCGCGCAACTTATGTAAATAATAATAATAATAATAATACCTTAAAGAGAGCGTAAGAAATACAAAAGAATAAATACAATTGATAATTAATAAATTTGTTTTGGGAGTTGTGTGTGTGTGTGTGTGTGTGCTTGGGTGCATTTTGGGTAAATGGGGATCTTTTTTTTTTTTTTTTTAATCCCCGTTCGAAATGAAAAAAGGGATTCGATTAGAAGGTTATTATATTATTATGGGAATGCGGGTCGATGGAAAAAAAAATTTTTTTCTTAATATTCTACAAAACTAAGGATAAATAATTTACTTGAAAATCCCCACATAACAAAAACTATTTTCGATTGTTTCTCGTTGAAATGAAATTCACGAGTGGGGAAACCAAACGAGACAAAAATAAATAAATAAATAAATAATAATAATAATAATAATAATTGATATTACGTACCGAAAACTATTAAATAAATAAATATTTAATTAAAACTATATCGCACTTTCGCACACAATCGAATATATATATAAACTTAACTCGTTGTTTAAAATAAAAACAAAACAAAATTTACTTTAAAAAAAAAAAAAAAAAAAAAAAAAGCAGACGACAAATTCGAGACGATTTTAAACGAATGTATACAACATACGACAACAAAACATATGGTTCATTTAAATATTTAATAAGAGGAAAAAAATTAAAAAAAAAAAAAAACAGTTTTAACGAATAATAATAATTAACGCCGAGATAATAATAAAAAAAAAAAAAAAAAATCAACAACGTTAGTACGCACGCACTCAAAATGCACTAAACGCACATGACTGACTTGTATTCTTTCTCTATGCGTGAATGTTTTCCAATGAGACCCCCTCACTCACATCATATTATTCGCTTCCATTCAACTGGTGAGATACTATTATTCATTTTCAGGTTCGGATTGGTCTACATTAAAATTAAAAAAAAAAAAACTCGAAAGTAATTTAATAAACCCACGCGCATTCTGGGTTAATTAATATTGAATAATTTTTCTGGTTATATTATTATTATTATTATTATTATTACGATTCCTCGGGCATTAGTGCTATAATTGCTATAACTATTTTTTATAATATAAATAAATAAATAAAATAAATAAATAAATAACAGTAAAACCAGAATCATAAAGTCTATAAAAAAAAAAATTTACGAATCATAATATTTCAAACTGATCGAACGAATTTTTTTTTTATTTTTTTTTATAGCGCTATAATGTATTCGTGCATACATTTATAATTTTTTTTTTTTTTTTTTTTGTATCGCATATTATAATTTTATAAATGTCTAAAAAAAAAAAAAAAAAATTATATTAATTGATTATAAATCAGACAAACAAGTTTTGCGACACAATTTTTTTTTTTTTTAAATTTCAACTTTATGCTATATTTATATTTATTTCCTTGCTATATAATAATAATTAATTTTCTTTTTTATTGCTTAATAAATATATTATTATTATTATTATTATTATTATTATTATTATTATTATTATTATTATTATTATTGCGTTAAATTAATATTTGAAAAATACAAAAATTATCATCATCATCATCATTTATTTATTTATTTTTATATATGCGGTAATAGAATTAACGACCGTTATAAATTTTAGCGGAATCAAAACAAATTTTAAAATTTTTATTTTTATTATTATTATTATTATTATTGTTGTTGTTGCTGTTGTTGTTATAAAAATTTATATTTTGGGGCATTTTAACAAATTTTTTTTTTTTTAATATTTAAAATTAACCCGCGACCGGTATTTTACTTCTTATTAATAATCATAATCCGTTATTTATTTATTTTTTTAAATTTATTTTATTAAATATTTTTATTCGCGATTAGTAATAATAATAATAATAATAATAAATCGTAGCAAAAAACTAGTTTAATCGTAATATTACAAAAAACTAATAATAATAATAAATTTAATGTGATATCGTATGTGAAAATACGTGAAATCGTACAAACGACAACAAATTTAAAAAAAAAAAAAATTATAAAATTTAAAACGTGAAAGCTTTTGCTATTGTTTATACGGAAATATACTCGTTATAATAATAATAATTATTATTATTATCGTCATCATCATCATCATTACGTAATTTTCATTTATTTATTTTTTTTTTTTTAATTTAACTTAACTAAAAACAAGAATCGGTGGATTGGACTTTGTTTTAATTTTGACACCACTCCTTCAAAAGGAGTTCACTTGTGCCCCCCCTTAAGGTGTAATAAAAAAGAATTTCCGCCTTTGTAAGACACCCACACACACACACGTGCGCGCGAGACAACAACAAAAAAAAAAAAAATTGAAATTGTTGCTGAACAAAGTACAAAAAACCCATTACTAAACACCACCACCACCACCACAATGTCACGACGAACCTACTCAGGTTGTCTTTAAAAAAAAAAAAAAAAAAACGCACGTAATTATTACCTCATCATCATTATTATCATTATTATTATTTATGCATCGCGTATATAAAGCATTTCATTAATTAAATGATTTTTTATAAAAATGGGAATTCGTATTATGGTGAAATACAATACGAACCGGAAAGTGTCCAATCCGAACCTGATCGTTCATCCCCTCTAAAGAACAAAAAAGAATAGAAAAAGAGAAAAAAATACATCAATAGTAGAAAAATGAAAGAAACGAAATGGTAGAGATGGATGCTGCTGCTGCAGAAAAACAAATCATGACTCATTTTGCGGACACGAGAGAAGAAAGAGAACTCGGGAGGGGGGGGGGTCGTGACCCCCTACAACTCCACTTTTGTCCTTTAACTCCTTTTATTATTATTATTACTACACGTATATATACGTATATAATAGACGGTCTCTTATTTTATTTTTTTCACCACACCCCCCTCCCCCTCTTTTTTTTCTAATTCTTATGTCTCACGTGCCGGGTTTAACGTCACGTGTGTGATGTGTGCGCGACATCCGCTATATAAGTGACGTGTATTGAAAATCATAATGGGAAGAATAGCCTTGGGAAAAAAAAAAAAAAAAAAAAAAAAAAAAAAAAACGTTACGGCCACGAAATATTACCGTAGATGATTAAAAATGATGGAATTTTCAAATTTTTTTTTTTTTCTTTTCTATTGCCACGTTCTTTAATTTTTTTTTTTTTTGTTTTCCAGTCTGTGGAGAATTAATACTAAATAAATAATGTTTGGAATTAAAAAAAAAAAAAAAAAAAAAAAAAAAAAAACTTTCATCTTATTTTTTTTTTTTTTTTCGCCCTTGAAAAAATTTACTCCATTATTTCTTCTGGAAGGAAAATAAATTACAACATCCCGAGGGAGAGAAAAGTTTTTTTTTTTACATTTAAAATAAATTAAAACTGCTGGAGAAAAACGACGAGCGTAGTACGACGAAAAAAAAAATTTTCCTAAAATTAACCCATTATGTTAATTAATAAATTATTAATCAAACGTTCATTTTATAATATTTTCCGATAATTTTCTCCAAAAAAAAAACGTTTTCCAGCATACAAACGACAACAACAATGGTTGTTCCTTTAAAAAAAAAATTCCTTAAATGTTATTCCATAATAAACTGGAATGAATGTTGTTGTTGTTTTTCTTTATCGTTAATATTTATCTTAATTTTACATCATTAAAAAAATTATTATCATTATCATTATTATTATTAATATTCCCGTGTTTTTATTCTCTCCAGAATTATATTTATCAGTTATAAAAATCTAGAATCGTAATTTTTTATATATTTAAATTTATTTATTTATTTATTTTTTATTAAGGTTTTAAACGAATACCGAGTCGTCAAAGATTTGGAAACTTCCAGAAAATTTTCCTTATCTTCGTGATCGTTAAAAAAAAAAAAAAAAAATATTTATAAATATATATATTTATGTTACGTCACGACGACTTTTCTTCCAGTAGATATAAAAAAAAAATTCACGGAGAAAAAAATGACAACAAATAAAACCTTTTTAAAGACAAACAACAACAACAAACAACAACAACAAACAACAACATTTTTCCTTATTGATTTATACCAAAAAAAAAAAAAAAAAAAAAAAAAAAGAAAAAAAATGAAAAACTTTATATCGTTTGCTATAAAAAAAAAAAAAAAAATTTCTTTTGCAACCCACAATAATTTATTACTGTTTATAATAATAATAATAATAATAATAATTTTTTTTATGATCTTCAAACTCAACTTTTATCATCATTATTATATACATTTTTTTTTTTTATTCCAGAAACATCCAGAAATATAAAAAAAAAATTTATTCTCATTTCTTTTCTCCCCTCTCCCCCCAAAACCCCTTTTTTCAATTAAAATTAATTTTCTTCATTTTTTTTCATTTTTTTTTTTTTTTTTAAATTAATTTTTAACGTTACATAATTCTTCTTTTTAAATTTATAATGTCGGAAAATAATTTTTAAAAAACCACCACCAACGAGAAACGCGACATTTTCAATTAAATAATTACGTTAATTAATAATAATTTATTTACTAAAAAAGCTGCCGACCGACACTAATAAAAAATTATTATTATTATTAATATTAATTACAATTTATTAACTCGAGTCGTCCTCGTGTAACTTGTAAATTCGAAATTATTATTATTATCATTAAATTTTATGTGTAATTTTTTTTTTAATCGTTATCAATTTATGATAACGTTATCATTGAGGGATTCTCCTCTCACATCGATTTTCACTTATTGTCACGGATCACGTGATGTAAACAATACTATTGTTATCATACTCTATGACCACCCTAACGTTTCATTTGTATGAAAAACACGCCCACGGTACTGATGACGATACGCGTTCGTTACGTGCCTACAGGTACACTACGAGTGCGTGTAATCACACGTGAAAGTGGAAGGGACACGAGTGGGGAGTTTCTACTCGGGGGGCAAGGGAGTTGAAACTATTTTTAACGTAATTAGCCAGCTTCCTTAGAAGCTTTCAAAAATTGCCATAGGAAATGGTATTACACATTTCCTAGGCGGGGTATTGGTATAAGTTTTCAACTAGCAATAATCGCACCTCAGTAAACCTTCATTGGTTACGATATCGCCACTGCGCAAAGCTTGAGTTCATCAGAGAAACATCACAAACTCCATTTAAAGTTCTTTTCGTTTTATACTCGAAAAGAGTGTGAATAAAAATTCTAAATAAATTAACAATCGTTTTAATTTTTCTCGCTAAATTTTTTAAATTAAATTTATACGTTTGCCTTATTGTTTCGAAATAAAAATTTATCGATAATTAATTAATTTAATTAATTAAATTAAAATAAAAAAGAAATTGTTTTTTTATTATGAGTAAGCGCGCCATCTATCGGTATAAAATAAAAACCTTTTTACATTTAAGAATTAACTCGAGCGTATTCTGTTAGAAAAAGTAGTAACTAATATAAACTGTTTTTGGTGAACTTAGTTGATAAAATGTCCGCAAAGTCGCTTTTTAAATCCATTTAATTTTTTTTCGTGAAAAACAAAACAAAACAAAAAAAATCAACATCAAACTAAATTTTATGTAGCACGTGTTTTCATTTTATAAAAACAAAGAAAAATGGGGAAAGAAAACTGCTGTTATTATTAAAATCTGGAGAAAAAACGAAAAAAACGAAAAAAAAGAAAAACAGGAACTTTAAAAAAGATTAATTAATTTTTATTTATGTAATCCTTTCAAACCCTAATCCGGGGATTAGTTTAAAAAAAATTTTTTTCCTTTTTTTTTATTTTTATTTTTTTTTTTACTTCCCATAATTAATTAAACAATTTGCTTAAGCGGAAATATCAATTTAAAATTAATTACATTTCCCATTAAACTGGCAAAATAATAATTTTGTTCCTTTACTTTTCCTTCGTTTCAATTTAAAAAAAAAAAAAAAAAAAAAAACGCATCATCATTTCACGGGTAAAATAATAATTTTATAAAAAATTAATAATTTTCTTCAAAATTATTAAAAATAAATAAATTTTTTCTCTCTCTCTCTTTTAGGGAATAATAATAATATTATTTTTACCTTTCCTCACCTTTTTTCTTTTCATCACCCTTTCCCCTAAAACCTTTTTAAAAAAAAATCCAAATCCAAACAATAAAAAAAAAAAACATTTTCACCCAACATCTGAGACCTCGAAAAAAATTTCCTTCCCCCCTCCCCCCAATTTAACGATTGGCAAAGGGGAACTTTTTTCACGGATTTTTAATGGGTTCTTAAATCAAAAAAAAAAAAAAAAAAAAAACTCACCGTTGGAAGGTTGAAGAAGACCTGGTCCCATTGTAACCCCACCCTGTTGTCTCCCCTTATCCATTCCTCCTCCTCCTCTTCTTGCAAGAGTCGTCGGTAAGGGTATGTTTGTAGTGGTTGTTGCAACACCACCACCACCACCTCCTCCATGTCTGTAGGGTGATGGAAGTCTACAATTATTAATCACATAATAATTTGACAATTAAAAATTACGAATTAATTTATATTCTTTTCATGACCGCTCGTTAAAAAAAATTTTTTTTTTTATTAATTCAGGTTGCAAATGAACGCCGGAAATTCATAGTGAGATGATTTTTCAGTTGTCGAACTTTTTTTGTATTATTTTCATATAAATAATTCATTAATAATAATAATAATAAATTAGAATTAGTGTAACGAACCTTTTTTTTTGGTTCGGTTATTAACAATCAAAAAAAAAAAAATTTAATTTTAACGAATGCAAAAAACAATTCCTTGCCGGTCGGCCATTTTGTTTTTTTTTTTATAACAGCTGACGGAAATATAATAAATAAGGTAATACTACTCATTGTACTTTCCTCCTCCAGTTTTCCCGTGTTCCCCCCACCCCCATTTTGTTCGTTAATAAAGTTCCTACTCACCGGGGTTGCGGCATTTCTTCCTGTTGCGTTTGTTGTTGTTGTCTTTGCTCCTGTTGTTGCAACCTTTGTAATTTTTCCTTTTCCGCCGATAATTGATGTTGTTGTTTTTGTTTTTGTTTGTGTCTCGAAAGTGAAAAAAATAAACCGAGTATGGATTTTAAATTTCCCTCTCGAACATCTTTGGCAGTGATATCATCGAGATTGACTCCGATGCTCGCAAGAAAACCGAGACAATTTTTTATATTGTCGATCTATATTTCAAAATAAAAAAAAAAAAAAATTATTTATTACTTATTACGTCATCATTTTAATCCCCGACATAATTTAAAAAAAAAAAAATAACTATCACATTAAAAAAAAAAAAATTCGAGATCAAAGGATGTGACGACGACGACCTTGCAAACGACTAAAAAAAATTTTTTATTTTTTTTTTAGGTTTTGTTAGGTACTCGTTTCATCGTCCTTGACAAAAGATTTAAGAGACTTTAAAAAAAAAAATAAAATAAATTAGAAAAAAAAAGAGGAGAGACTCCTCGAACTTGTCCTTTATTTTTGACCGATGTCCATGCCCTCTCTTCGAGTTACCATATTTGAATATCGACACGAAACGACAAAATGCCACCAAATTTGACGGTTGCGGTTATGCGTGATGTGTCGCGAACTCCAATTTATTTTTTTTTTACATTAAAGTTCAAACGAATCCTCCCCCTTCCCCCTCCGCCCCTCCCCCCACATCAAATATATACAAAATTAATTAAATTATAATATTTGAATAAATAAAAAAAAAAAAACTTTCGTTGCGATGAAAATTCTTTTTCGAAAAAAAAAAAAATTCCATGAAAAAAGAAAAATAAATTCGTGTTGAAACTCGCTCTCCTAATATATATTTTAATAACGAAAACGGAAATGACCTCAAAAGAAGAAAAACGTAAACAAGCAAACAAACAAAATAACTGAATGAAGAAACGAACGAGTTATAATTAAAGGAAATAGAAATAAAGAATTTTCTCGAATTCGAAACAACTTGGAAATAAAATTTTTAATGCAAGACCTAAATTTTTTAAAAATAAAATTTTCCAACAAGGTTTTTTTCCTTTTTTTTTTTTCTTTTTTTTTTTTTTTTTAAGTGAAAGAAGTCATTTCCGCAAGGTCGGGGGCAACAGCAGCATCAGCATTTCTTTTTTTCTTCCTGCTGTTAAATATCGTATTGTAAAAAAAAAAAAAAAAATTCAAAATCAATTTTTAGACCTTTCGCAAATGGGAGAGAGAAAAAAAAAAAAAAAACTTTCTTCCATATTATCATCATTATTACTTTTTTTTTTCTTTCTTTCTTTTCACGAATGATGATGATAATAATACGAGACGATTTTACAATCCAGTTCTACAGTTATTTCAACTTTACCCTTTTTTTTTTTGACAAACAATACAACTCGAAAAATTTTTTTAAAAAACAATTAAACAAACAACAAACAAAGAAAAAAAAAAAAACATTCATTTCACTGACCTCCTCAATTTTTTTTTTTTTTTTATTAACCTTCGCCATATCAACATTTTTTTTTATCATACCCAAACTGCAATATCGTAAGCGAAAGGTAATGATAATAATAATAATAATACAAAAAAAATAATTTGAAGGTTGTTAACAAAAAAAAAAAAAATCAATGAAATTTTTTACAAACTAACAACTTTTCAATGGCAATAAACTCGTTTATTAACTAATAAATTATTATTATTATTTGCATAATTTTTATTTATTTATTTATTAATTAATTAATCTTTATTTTTAAACTTTAATAAATAAATAAATATATATATATAGTAAAAAAACTTGCAAACGTGGTAATAACAATAAATGAAGTAATAAGTTGTTTGTTTTATATATGAAAAAATAATAATAATGATTTTTTTAAAATGTTCTAATGCCACGTGATTTTTTTTTTATTAAAGTCGTTTTATATCTACTTTAAAGTTTTTTTTTTTTTTTTTTATTCATCTACTCGAGCAATTACACCAGCAAAAAAGAAAAAAAACTTGATTTAAATCCGGGGGTAAAATTTAAAAGATTAAAAAATGGCCGCCGGTAGCTTACAAAAAAAAAAAATTTAAACTAAACATTTGAACCTGATAAAATACCTTTTTCAAAATCGCCTTTAACTACTTTTAAATGATTAATAGTTTTAAGTTAATAATAATAATAATAATATTGAGTCAAAGCCTAAAACGTTTCTTTCATCTTTTGGTTGTAGTTGTTTTGGTTGTTGTTATTGTTGTCGTGGTTGCAGTTTTTTTACATGTCGTAAAATTACAAAGCGTATATTTACTACAAAAAAATTTTTTTTTTTTTTATTCGACCGAACGCACACGCACTCACACACACACATACATAATTTTTTTCCTCGTAATAATAATAATAATAATGAAAAATACGAAACTTTATCGATATGTTATTATTATTATTATTAATATTGGATCGATAAATGATTTATTTTTATTTAAAAAAATTTTTTTTTTCTTTTTTTTTTTTTATTCATTAATAATAATAATGATAGTAATAATGCCACGAGTTTTCAAAATTGATTCCTTTACGTCAAGAACGCATGTGCGTAATTATTATTAAGAGGAGGGATTGTGGAGCGGGGGAAGAAGGGGGGGTGAGGCAGGGGGAGGGAACCACAGCGGATTTAAGAAAAAAAAAGAGGGCACGAAAATATAAGACTTTAATATTTTTTTTTTTAATGACAATAATCGTTTATATACGTGTAAATTTTTTAATTAAAATATATATGCAATAAGATGATGATAATAATAATGATAAAAGTATGAAGTTCAAGATGTCGGACCGTGAGCTTAATGGAATTTTTTTTTTTTTTTTTTTTAAACAATAACAACTATTTTATACCCTGGAGAACTTGGCAGCGAACTATGATTCTCATCATATGAATGCCAAGAAAATTTGCATTCATTTAAAAGATGAAATCATTTTTGTCCTTGAAAACACAAATCATCATCATCATTATTATTATTATTATCATTATTATCACCATTATTAATTTTAATTCATTTTACGATTTGAAAACGGTAATAATTATTTAAAAAAAAAAAAAAAAAAACTATTACGAGCTTTAGGGGAAATAAAAAAAAAAAAAAAAAATTAATCAATGAAAAAAAATTTTAAAAAAATTCGGATTAGGGATTAACAGGGATTAATAGGGATTAATTAATATTTAATAACAAATAAATGATTCCTTATAAATTTTATCTATATATATGAATTTGTTTCGATTGATTGATTGATTTTTTTAGTTATTTGTTAATTCGATTCGAAAATATTACGTCGGAAAACATAAAAACGGTAAAAAAAAACTTAATAGAAAATGTTTCAGGTATCGAGGTACGTTTCCTCACTCAACTCGTTTTAGAGTTTTCC